GGTTCCTTTTTCTCCGCATCCTCGCCAGCACTTATCATTTGTTGATTTGTTGATGATAGCCATTCTGACAGGTGTGAGATGGTACCTCATTGTGGTTTTGATTTGCATTAGTGACTTTGAGCATGTTTTCATATGTCTCTTGGCTTTCTGAATGTCCTCTTTTGAAAAGTGTCTATTTAGGTCCATTGCCCATCATAGGTTTCTTAAACATGGAGAGCTGGGCATTGGTCTTGACCAAATTAAGTGGTAGGTATCCCAAGCAAGGACTTATTCCATTCTAGAGTAAATGTCCTTAATTTTTCTCAGCATTTTAAAATTTAGTATTTTCTTTTTCTTTACCCTTTCTTCATGATTCTAAAATTGGTTTAGCATTATGGTAGGATACTCTTTTATGTTTGCCAGTTTAGCAATCTGTGTAAAAGTTTCTCTGTCCTCACTGTATTTGAAGCTATCTGAGTGAATAACAAAATATTTCTGTAATTATAATTAAGGTGTATGTAATGTTTTATTTGTATTCATTCTTGCAGCCATGTGACTCTGTTCATATTACAAATGATGATGAAAGATTTCTACATTGCCTTATCTCAGAGGAGAAGGAAAAAGTTAGCTTTACTGCTGTGGTTATCACAGGAGTACAATCAGAACACATACCGTACTTGAAAAATTATTTCCATCTTTGGACAAGACAGTTGGCGTAAGTATTTATATTTGATTGAGGACTTGTTTCTACTTATCATTTTTAAGAATGAAAGTATTACAGGTACATTGAAGCTTCTTGGCTATCTGCTTTGCTCCTGTCCCGTTTTCTTTCTTTCAGTATAGTAACTAGTACTCTGATGTCAGCATTAAAATTGTTTCCTATTCTGTAAATATTTATTGGTCACCTGTAATGTATTGTTTGATATTTGAGGCACAGGCATTGGAACATCTTTGATAAAAATAAGCCAGAATTTATCAAATTCAGTGCCATCATTCCCATAGCTCTCTTTTGTGCTTCTGTTATAGATCTGTCATAATGTTCCATGCCATATATTTTACTTATTTTTTTGTTTGCTTTCCCCTATTGGAATGTTTTTTTTTTATGCACTGCTATATACCCAGTATGTCCTGTTACATAGTAGATATTCTGTTTGCAGTAAGCCTATTAATATGAAAAAAGTCTATCTATGCAATAAAGAGGTAATATGCAAATTGACTATCATGCCCTCACACAAGATGGCCTCCCCTATATGGTCACAAGATGGCCACCACAAGATGGCTAGCAGGGGAGGGCAATTGTGGGCAATCAGGCCTGCAGAGGAGGGCAGTTAGGGGTGACCAGGCCTGCAGGGGAGGGCAGTTGGGGGTGACCAGGCTAACACTTTTGATATGTCTGAAGAAATATCTCATGATTTTTAGTGATTTTTCTTTTATCAAATAGTATTTTAAACAGTAGCTAGGATAATTAATTCTTTTTTAAAATTAAAATTTATATGAAGGAAGATTGCAACTTCCTGTTTGAGGAATAATTATAGATTTGATATGTTTTAGCCCTGAATAAAATGTCACCAAAATATAGTCATTTTTAACCTTTACTTAAAAATAAAGTAGTAGTTTAAAAATGAAGTGATTTTCAGTGGAATAATAATGAATGCATTCGTGTTTTGGTTTTTTTGTTTGGGAATATTAGGATAAGATTTTTTCAGTGCTATAGGAGAGGAACTATAAGTGTTATAGAACAATATTCTCATGTTGCACTTAAACATATCCAAACCTATATACTCCTTGATTTTTGAGTCCTTGACATCCCTGACAAGTAAAAATGTAGCCTCTTGCCTTCTAGCTGTTTTTTTTTTTTAATTATATTTCTTGGAAATATAAAGTATGTGAACTTTGAAATAAGAAGGCCTGTATTGAAGTCTCTTCTCTTCCAAAGTCTTAGGTTCTGTGACCTTAGGTAAATTATATATACTCCTTGTACCCCAATTTCTATATGTATAAAATGAGATACAATAGTACCTGCATCTCAGGATTGTTTTTACCATTAAATGGGATAAATGTTTTAAAAAGCTTGATATAGTGTCTCTTAGGTACTGCTAAATAGTAGTTACAGATTTGTTTTGGTAGAAGAATATATGAACTATAATTTTATGTGAGTTAAAAGTATAAAGTTATTTTTCTGTATTTTAGGCATATTTATCATTACTATATTCATGGCCCAAAAGGAAATGAAAAACGTACATCAAAAGAAGTTGGACCTTTCAACAACATTGATATTGAAGTAAGATAAAGTTCCTTTTTCAACTATTATGAATTATTAGGAATCTGTTCCAGTTCAAGTGACTCTGGATAAGAAAAATCAGTCAATACAGAAACAACTTCTCTCTCCTTTTTACTAAAGTTTTTTGGTAATTTGATGTCCAGATAAAGAGGTATTCTTAGATGTGTTTTTCTGGAACCTTTGTACCATAGTTAGTTTCTTTTTTTCTCTCTCTTTTATAGAGATATGAGTTGTTGCTGAATATTATGTCTTAAAGCAGAGAGGAAAAGGGACATAGTTTCCCTTTGGTTCACAGAAGTCTTATGATGGTGAAGTAAGATTTAGAACCACAAAACATTTGAGTGTTGGGTTCTGTTAGAATTTCATGTATATCATTGTCCCACTTCCTACCTCTAGCAAGACACCTTGTAAATGTTCTCATGACTTATCTGTCCTTCAGCTTTGCTTTGCTCTTTTTTTTTTTGCTTGTTTTCTATTTTTTAGTAGTATATTCCATACTGATATGCTACTTATAGCTATTTAACTCATGTAAAATATTTCATTCAGCTAGATTTTTACTTGTACAAATAAAAGTAGTTTTTGCCTATTCCTTTGTTGGATCATAGCTGAGAACAAAAGTCACCATAGAATTTAATTATTTTTGTTTTATTTTTATTTTAGATTTCTATGTTTGAAAAAGGGAAGGCACCTAAGATTGTCAACCTAAGGGAAATACAAGATGACATGCAGACGTTGTATATAAACACAGCAACTGATAGTTTTGAGTTCAAAGCTCACGTTGAAGGAGACGGTGTAGTGGAAGGGATTATCCGATATCACCCTTTCTTATATGATAGAGAAACTTACCCTGATGATCCATGCTTTCCATCAAGTATGTTAACCTGTTGTCTTAGCTACAAAATGTGAAGTGATTTAGGATCATGATTGTTTCTTTTCATGATTATTGTTAATTGGGCTATTAAGGCTGGATAAGTATTAAAACGTTTTTCCTTATACAAATCTTTTAAAGATGTTAGGTCTTTATAATTTATATAATTCTTGATTTTTGTGTGTATTCAGTTTTAGATGAATAAAGCACGGGCTTTAAGAAACATTACATTTTTTACCTTAGGTCTTTTATTGAATGGAACTTTTAGTTATGTATTGCATATTAATCCTTTATATATCCCTCTTATTGTTTTCCCATTATCTATGTAGGCATATATAAAGGAGTTTCAAACTTTCTGTAGTTAGTTTTTTCTTCATGCTTTCTGATTTTGTCTTACTGTGAAAAGTCTTCTCAAGACTATAAATGGATCCTGTAGTTTTAAAAAATTATTTTATGTTTAGATCTGTAATGTATCTGAAATCTAACCTCCTTTTTTTGTGTGTAGGGTAAGGTACGGCTTTATTATTTTTCCATGTAAGCATTCAGTTTCCTACCACCAATTATATTGAATATTATGATTTTTTAAATAGTTTGAAATATCATTTTTATAATAATATTAAGTTCCCATATGGATATATATCTGGTTTCTTTACTATAGATCTATTTTTGTATTTTTATATACTTTTATTGATTTCAGAGAAAAAGGGAGAGGGAGAGAGAGATGGAAACATCAATGGTGAGAGAGAATCATTGATTGGCTGCCTCCTGCATGCCCCCTACTAGGAATCGAGTCTGTAACTGGCATGTACCCTTGACTAGAATCAAACTTGGGAACCTTCAGTCTGCAGGCTGGTGCTCTACCCACTGAGCCAAACTGTCCAGGGCTATTTTGTATTTTTATATGTGAGTAATGGTACCTTCTTATAGCTATATACTCTATATTGATATCTGTAGGGCAAGACACTTAGTATTTTTTTGAGAAAATTCTTATTTCTTAATCTTTTACTTTTCTAGGTAAACTTTGAAATCAGTTTGTACATGCACTTAAAAATATCCTGGAGGGATTATTTAGATTTCATTGAATTCATAGATTAAAAGTATTAAATTTTCTCATTCAGAATACTTTCCCTATGTACTTAGTGTTTTGGGTTCTGGAACCAGATTTCCTGATTTGAATCTCATCTCTGCCACTTTCTGTTTTGTAAACTTTGACAAAGTACTTACTGCCTATCTCAGTTTTTCTTATCTGTGAAATGATAGGGATGGGTAATAGTTCATGCTTCATAGAAGTTTTTTGAGGGGTAAATAAGAAACTGCTTTTTTTTTTTGTCCAACATTATTTATTCAGTGTTCATACATGCTACTAGTCAGTGACTTTCCCTCCTGTGATGTCTCCACTCCCGGTTTAATTTGACATTTCTAATATTTGTATGCTTGTAGACAGGAAGATCAAGTTCTTCAAATGATTTCTTAAAATAAGAGCCAATAAATTGAGTCATGATTAGAGGGGTTCTGTAAGAGCAAAGCAATTTTGTCTGAAAGGAACTTTTATTTAGGGACCTCTTGTGAGGGTTTTTTGTATGAAGAAGTCTTTATTTGTGAGGCTGACTTAATGCCAGAAAAACTGAGATGTTGCTATATCACTATTAAAATGTTTGATCGTGATTTAAGTGGATATATGAAAATATATTGCTAACAAATATAAAATGCTATAGATATTTGTGTTAAATATGTGTTTGATGGTTTGTAAGATATTATAATTACATATTATAATTTCTGCTGTATCACCTGGATCTGATCTTCAAAAATTTAATAGTTTATGTAAGTTGAACTTAAATTTAGTATTATTGATTAATTTGCCCAAACTAGACATACTTGCTGCTGCTAGATACTATAAGTTTCCCAGCTAATATTTAAGTGAACATACTAGTTCTGACAAAATTGTGAAACTTGTCTCTTTTGTTGTTGTTGGTTTTTAAATATATTTTAATTGATTTCTGAAAGGAAGGGAGGAGAGAGAGATAGAAACATCAATGATGAGAGAGAATCATTGGTCAGCTGCCTCCTGCAATCCCCACGCTGGGGATTGAGCCTGCAACCTAGGCATGTGCTCTGAATAGGAATCGAACCATGACCTCCTGGTTCATAGGTCAACACTCAACCACTGAGCCATGCCAGCTGGGCTGAAACTTGTGTTTTAGGCATAGGATTTATGCTCCTATATTTGTAGGGAAGAGGTATTGTGCTAGAGCACAATGTCTTTGGATATGTGACTCTTTTGCTTTATAAACAGGTTTTAATGATTGCAATTTTATTAGCTAGTATAGCTCCTAACACATTGATTAATATATAAGTAATTATTGACTTTATTTATTTTTAAAAATATTTTTATTGATTTCAGAGAGAAAAGGAGAGGGAGAGGGGGAGCAGGAGGGAGAGAGGAAGAGAGAGAGAGAGAGAGAGAGAGAGAGAGAGAAGCATCAATGATGAGAGAAAACCATCGACCAGCTGCTCCCTGCATGCTCCATACTTAGGGTTCGAGCCCGCAACCTGGGCATGTGCCCTGACCAGAAACAAACTGTGACCTCCTTGTTCATAAGTCAACGCTCAACCACTGAGCATGCTAGCCGGCAATTCTTGGCTTTTAAATGAGAAACCCCATTGGTAATGTATAACCACTTTGGAATCTTTTATTCTTAGGACAAACTAAGAATAAAGCTATCTTAAGTTTTCTGAATACAGCATTAACAATCGTGAGTTTTAGTTACCATTTCTCTGAAGCAACTTGAACATTTTACTTATAGAAATTGACGAAAATGACAAAAGTTTCATATACTTTGTAACATTTTCATATACTTGAT